TTATTATTATTATTATTACGGAAGTATCCGACTCAGTACATTTTTTTTTTTTTAAATGAAAATTTTTATTCCATTTGAATTCCTACTTTTATTTTTATTTTCCTTTACGTCTCAAACTTTTACCCTTCTAGGAAGGGATGTAGGTACTTAGAATACCCAAAAAGCTGTCGCTAAACCCATACTCATTTTTATTTTGCTTTTTCTCATAACTTCATTCCATATCAATAATTATCTCCAATACAAATATAAAAATAAGTGAGACTTATATAAGATTATGTCAGAAAAAAAGAGAAAAAAAAATGAGCCTCATATATTATTATATGTGTATATGAGATAAAAATTATCTCTTACAATGTGAAAAATATTATCTGTCAATATATGTCATATCAATATAATTTTGCATATATATATTAATTTATATGCAATGTATAAGTGAGGCAGGTAGCCAGTGGCGAACCCATAAAATTTTATTTATATTAGCACATTTAATGGCTGCGATTCGGGGATAGTGCTCCCGAAAAAATAATCTTAAATGCATTAAAAAATAAAAAAATATTAACAAGAAGAGAAAAGAAAACTATTCACATATATCAAGCTTTGTTGTTTCATGCATATCTTATTTTTTGTAAATGTTATTTCAGGCTAGAGTAAAGTATTTTTTGGATCCTTAACAAATATTAAAGGACCAATTTAATCCCTTAGAAAAAAAGTCGACTTATGGTTCCTTTAAAATTCAAAATAGACCCATGTTAGTCCTTTTAAAGGACTAGTGTGGGTATTTTTTGAATTTCTGAGGGACCACAATTTAAACTAACTGTGTCTATTTTGAATTTCAGAAAAATTACAAGTCGACTTTTTTTTTCTAAGAAATTAAATTGGGCCCGTGATTTTTGTTGAGGACCCAAAAAATACTTTACTCTTCAAGCTATTTAAGTTATTTCAAAAGATTTTTTTTTGTATATGTACTTACACACATAAACAACCATGTAGGTCCGCCGATGCCTGTGGCTAGGGGTGTTAACGGGCCGAGCTTTGATCTTAAAAGGCTAAGCCTGTGTTTAAATGTGTTAGCCTGACCAAGCCTGTTACCTGTTATAAATATAATTATCGGCTTGTGGTCTGACTTATTTACAAAAAATAAAAGTCTAGTTTAGCCTATTTTTTTAAAAAAATTGGACAACAAAAATTTATCCAAACAGAATATACAATCAACAATACTAGTAATTTCATAAATATTCGTAAATTCAATGTATATCCAAACAACATAATATAGAACAAAATCATTCAAAAAGTCTTTTTAACCAATAAAATTGGGTGAAATAAATTGAGGAGAAAGAGAGAGCTATTACAAGTAGTATAAAAAATATATAAAAAAATAATAATATACTAGGCCAGCCTGAGAGACTTTAATGCCGAGCTTTTGAATTGGAGACTGAAGCCTTTTTATTAAACGAGCTTTTATACAAGTTCAAGTTTGGTGCCAACAATTAATTTTAGACATGTAAACTCAAGTCTTCACAAGCCATGCCAAAACCCCTGGTTCGTTTAGCACCTCTACATGAGGCTACACTTTCTTTGCTTTTTCACTCTCATGAGTAAGGACATCACTAACCTCTGGATGCTGGAGCTAAAATATAGAATGGAAACGTGATGTTGAAAATTTGTGTACAGATATAGGTGAACATCTATATAGACACCGAGCTAGCTGGATGCACGGTGGCAGCAACGCATGTGTGGTGGGGCAGGCCCACCTACGTCCCCTCTCCTTCACAAAAGTGACGTGCTCCAAGAGGCAAACTAAAGGATTGAGGTGGGTTTTTATAAACCTTCACATTTCTTACTACTTGTTCAATATAAGACTTTCTTTTCACCTTCCCTCATTATTTCCTTCCTCGACCCACTTCTTATTCATAACTCATATGATCTAGATACAAAATCCAATAATAAGCGGAAACAATTCATTTCACTAAACAAATTTCAATTCTACATGATGGGTAAAGTAGACTACAAATTGAAAGACGACGAAAAAGGTTTTACTTATAGAAAAATTGAATTTATCAATTTAAATTTCTATAAATGATATTATTCGATGAATTATTGGTTATAATTCTTTTTTATTTAATTTATCTGAGTATGAAATGAAAGTTTTACTCTATTTATATTTGGGTTTGAAGTTTTTCATTTTGTAAGAGATAATATATTTATAAAGAAGTATATCATATTCATGTGGGGTTATGAGAGGAAAAAAAATAAAGAAAAAAAATTAAACTCCATTGTAAGAGATATATCTTTTACAACATAATTTTTTTTTAAACCCTCCGTATTTTTATGTCTAAGTATCAGTTTATAAATATTTTTTTAAGTTCCCCTTTCTCATAGTTGGGAACATGTGAAAATTAATGTTGGGAGCAATATTTTGGAACACTGATTAAAATGTCACTCTGTAGCAATTTTTTTACCTAAATGTCACGCGAACAATGTTATTTTTCAATTTGTCACGGGGGCAAATTCGTTACCCGGTGTAGCGAACTCGATTTGCTGACGCGTCACATTTCTAATGGATAACAAGTATCAAGTTAAAAAAAAAGTGTGAAGTTCGCTACATTGTATAGCGAATTTGGTGTCCACTAGAAACGTGACACGTCAGCAAACCGAGTTCGCTATACCGACTAGCGAACTTGGCCCTGTGGTAGATTAAAAAATATCACTGTTCACATGACATTTAGGTAAAAGAGTTGATGAACAGTGACATTTTGATCACTGTTCCCGATGTTCTGAAAATATGATGGATAATGTATAGGTACGCGGCGACTTAAAACTATATGCAACTACATGATGACCAATAAAATTTTTAATTCACTGATTTTTAGTATGTATAGAGATAAAGATGACGTAATGACCTAATCGAAAAGTCCACTCACCTATCATTCATAAGTGCACCATTCATTAGAGAAAAGTGTTTTCCAGGACCACAATATTATTGTGATATTTAAATGAGAATCTTAATTTTAAAATGGCTAAATAATATAAGGGAAAAATATGTATCATTTTATAGGATGTAAAGTTGTGTCATTTTAAATGAGAGAAAAAATAGATAAAAAGGAAGAGAGAGTGGACAAAAAAATATAAAGATGTGAATCTCATCTCTTTGTGAGAGTAAAAATATATAAATTATGTCATTTAAAAAGATAAACACTTTTTTCATAATATAAAATCATCTTTTCAACTTCGTAAAGATTGCAATGTACCCATCAAACTTTATAAATGGGGGTTAATAGCCGTTCTCTTACGAATTATGTTGAAACACAATTCCCCACATAGAACCCTTCTCATCCCTTTCCCCATGTTACATCTGCTCGTCTGCTCCCTCCATTAATTAATATACTGTGAGAAGTTGCAACTCTAAAAAACCTTAGTTTCCTCAAAAGTAATGCAAATCCACTCATCAGATCACTTCATAGGACGTGCGTATGGAAAGATTGATGTATTTCAAACTCAAACTAATACGTGTCAGCCAATAGCTGAGGAGACATAAGAGTGCGGCTGTTGGGCGAATTAACCATTAGGTTGGTGGAATCTTTTTAATTTTATTTTTGAGAAATGCAAGAATTATGTAACAAGAAGAAGAACAAATTTTTTACCGATACAACTTTTGGTAGGACCTATGAATTAAAAAAAAAAAAAAAAAGAATCAGGCGCTCTTATCGATGAAACTTGAGACTTGTGACTGTTGTGAGTGCTGTAAATTTTTTTTCTTTCATGCTACGCAACTTTAATATTTTCCTTTATTTTTTTTGAATAAGTTCATAAATCACTCTATGATTTATTCTTTTATCATTTATTTATTTATTTATTTTTTGATCAATTACCTCTATGATTTTTTTATTCAAATTTATTTGAACAATTAGTAATTAAGTTATCTTATCCATTTTATCCTTATTTATGTTTTGGAGTTTTGTTGACCAAATGTAAAATCTGACCAGAAATAAGTGCAGTGAAAGTATAAATGTTTGGAGTAATACCTTTTCCAATCATCTCATTCTATAGCTTAACTGCTTTTTGGAGTTGTAGGTCTTTGCAAGTATCCACTAATCAATGTAGTAAAGGGTGTAGCAGTGGACTCCAGCCTCCAACCCTTTATTGTTTCATCTTTGCAAATAGACTCGGCTGTACTCAAATCCTCAAATTTGCACTGGCCATTTATCAAATAGATGCAGGCATATACAGATTTTTTTATGGATTTTATAGCTCTCGTGTCACTACAAAAAAAAAAAAAACTTTTACAGCAACATAAAGATACGGTTTCGGATCCTGTATTTTTTTTTTAAAAAAAAAAAGTAAGATCCACTTATTTGTGTCCGTTACACCCAATAAAACTGTATAGTAGCTTCAGAAAATTTGCACACTTCTTTTATACCATCTTCTATCATTCTATCAAAATAAGTCAATGCAACATCCAACCTCACCTTCTGCAAAAGTGTTGAAAATAGATATTAAGTTTAAATTATTGTTACTTAGAGATAGAAATGATTTGTTTGTTAGAGAATAAATTCTGATTAAGTTGTTGATTGTTGTTAGGTTGTTAGAGTAGTTTCCTATTTTTATGTATTGATTGTTGAGAGTCACTTGTATATATATCCCTCATTTAAGAGGTACAGATATAGTGGAATAGAAATATATTTCCAGAATTCATATTTTAACATGGTATCATCGCAGTGTTCGATCCAGTAAAGGGAAGTTTCTCATTGAATTTCCTTTTTTTCTGATCTCTACCTTTTTTTCTCCATAATTTCGTATTCCCTTTCCAGACCCAAAAATTTCATCCACCCAATTGAACCCCAAAGTGCATCAAATTTGTTTCGTATTTCCCATTGAACCCCACAGTTTCGTATTTTTATTTCTCCAATTATTTCCTACCTGATCCGCCCAATTCCCTTCTCTAAACCACAAATTAAGCCTACCCGACCCGAATACCTAATTTTCCCCTTCCCTCTACCGTAATGGAGACCTTCATCCCCACATCTCCAGAAGATTCAAGAAACTTGTCCTCTACCTCTACCCCTTCTCCCAACATCATCATCACCGTCGTTCTTGACGATTCGAACTACCCTCTCTGGTCCCAGTTGATGGACATGCGTATAGGGGCCAGAAACAAGTCAGGCTACCTCACCGGAGCCACAGTGAAACCACCCACCACTGACCCTCATTATGATACATGGATTACTGAGAACAAAAAAGTGAAAAGATGGCTCATCGAATCAATGACGTTGTCCTTGATGCAGCGGTTCATCCGCCTTGAATCCGCTCGAGAAATTTGGGATGCGGCGCTTCGTACCTTCTATGACGGATCAGACGATACCTGCCTCTTCGAACTTCATCAGCGCTCCTTCTCCACGAAACAACTCGATCGTCCTCTGTCTACATACTACAACGATCTTCTGACCATTTTCCAAGAGATTGACCACCGCATGTCATCTCCAGCCACCACTGTCAATGATGTGGTCAACACGCACTCCTCCTTAGCCCGTATGCGTGTCTACAACTTTCTGAGTGCAGTCGATTCTGAATACGACCATGTTCGAGGAGAGATTCTCAGGAAAGATCCGAAGCGGACCTTGAGGGAACATATGCGTTCCTCCGTCGTGACAATCAACAGCGCATAACTATGAATCGCCCACTTCCTCCATCTGATTCTTCTGCCTTGGTCGCCTGTTTCCCCTCGGGCCATTCTTCTCCCAAACCACGAAAAGATTTCTCGTCTGGAAAGCCCTTAGTCTGCTCCCACTGTGGTGATTCAGGCCACTCGAAGAACAGATGCTACGAAATCGTAGGATACCCAGAATGGTGGGACTTCACAAAGAAACCACGAAGGAAAGTCCCCTCCAAAGCTCTGAAATCATCTTCTGAAGGTGAATCCTCTACACCTCCTCAAGCGCATGCCATCTACGAAGGAATATTAGGTAACTCTCTTGCTTTCTATGCAAACTCTGGGAATACCTCTTGGATAATTGATACTGGCGCATCGGATCACATGATTCGTGATGCCTCTGAGTTGACACAGTGCTCTCCTTGTAGTAAATCCACCGTCACCACTGCTAATGGTGGCTCGGCCCAAATCACTTGTTAGGGCACCCTTTCTCTGACTAAAAATCTTACCCTTCATTCTGTCCTTCTAGTACCATCTCTAGATTTTAATTTAATTCCTGTTAGTAAACTTACATCGGACCTTAACTGTATATTGATTTTTTGGCCTACATTTTGTGAGTTTCAGGACGCCCAGACGCAGGAGATCCTTGGCTATGGTGTTAGACATGGCAACCTCTACTTCTTCAATCTCAAAGATGGACTTTCCCAGCAACCAGTGGCTTCGGTTACCAAGGTTCCTGTTTCTCCTCCTTCTGACATTTTAGTTTCTGAGACTTCTCATTCTGATGTATGGCTTTGGCATAGGCGATTGTGACATCTCTCTTTCTTTTCTCTTAAAAAATTGTTTCTGAAATTATTTTCTAGATGCAATTCTTCTCTGTTTAGGTGTTCGGTTTGTGACATGGCTAAAAGCCATCGAATTTCATTTTACCCCAGTCCAAATAAGAGTTGTATCATCTTTCAAGTGATCCATTCAGATGTATGGGGACCTGCTAAGGTCCCCTCCCTCTCCCATTCTTACTATTATGTATCCTTTATTGATAAATGTACTCGAATGGTTTGGATTTCACTTCTTAGAAATAAAGCTGATATTTTTTCAATGTTTCAAAAATTTCATAGTATGGTTAAAAATCAATTTAACAGCTCCATCCAAATACAGCAATCCGATAAAGGTCTTGAGTATAAAAATCACACCTTCTCTGAATTTCTGCTTTCTAATGGAATCAAACACCAAACATCTTGTACTTATACACCTCAGCAAAATGGCTTGGCTAAGAGAAAAAATAAACAGCTTTTAGAAGTAGTAAGGGCCCAATTATTTGGCATGAATTTTCCTTCATCCTATTGGGGAGAGTCAGTCCTCTCTGCTACTTATCTCATCAACCGTACTCCTTCAAGTGCCCTGAATTTCCTCACCCCTCATCAGAAACCTGAATCTTATTTCTCTATTCCTCATGTCACTAAATTAGAACATAGAATCTTTGGTTGCACTGTCTATGTTCATGTACCTAAACCCCTCCGCAGTAAGCTTGATCCTTGTGCAAAAAAATGCATCTTTGTAGGATATTCTGATTTCCAAGAAGGATACCGTTGCTATGTTCCCACAACAACAAAATTGCATGTCACTATTGAAGTATCATTTTGGAATCCGAAGCTTTTTATTCAGGGGGAGTCACCCAGCCTTCTTCTAAGGGGGAGACTAAATATATCAGAGAAGAAGAATTATACCTTCCTGACCATAGATCCTACATCAGCACAAAATCTCACCTCACCAGAAGTCTCAGCCACGGATCTGCACACCAGTCTCATCCATGCAGAACCTTCTACACCTGAAGGGTCACCATGTCTACCTCTCATAACCGAATCTCCTGCTATGGACAACTCTGAAACACAAACTACTCTTGAGGTAATTCCTGATCCAATTTTACAAAATTCAGTTTCGGATACTCAAGTAAGAAGGTCAGAAAGACAAAATAAAGGTGTACCCCGGACTACTTATGAACCAGACCCGAATGACAAAATTAAATATCCCATTACCAGCTATGTGTCATCTCATAGGATATCTGGATCATATGCTTTAATGGTTGATCAATTATCTATTGTAGCTATTCCTAACAGTGTGCATGAAGCATTGGAAGACCCTAAATGGAAGGAAACAATGAACATTGAAATGGAGGCACTTCAGAGTAACTAAACTTGGAGTCTAACAAATTTACCAGAAGGAAATAAGACAATTGGATGTAAATGGGTATACACGGTTAAGCTAAAGGCATATGGAAGCATAGATAGATATAAAGCAAGACTTGTGGCAAAAGGATACACTCAGAAGTTTGGAATAGACTACCAAGACACATTTGCTCTAGTAGCCAAGCTCAACACCATCCGAATCTTAATATCAATAGCAGCCAACAGAGACTGGTAGTTAAAGCAGTTCGATGTGAAGAATGCCTTCTTGAATGGTAATTTAGAGGAAGAAGTCTACATGGAAGTTCCACCAGGAGTAAAGGCAAAGGAAAATACAGTTTGCAGGTTAAATAAAGCCTTATATGGTCTCAAATAGTCACCAAGAGCATGGTTTGGCAGACTTACACTTGCAATGAAGAAGTTTGGCTATAGGCAAAACAATTCAAACCATACATTGTTTATTAAACAAAAGGGAGGAAAAATTTCCATACTTATTGTCTATGTAGATGATATGGTTCTAACAGGAGATGATATAGAAGAAATGAAAATACTGGAAAAAAGCTTGCTGCTGAATTTGAAATGAAGAGTCTAGGACAACTGAAGTACTTCCTAGGAATAGAAATTGCAAGATCTAAACAAGGGATATTCATGTGTCAGAGAAAATATACACTGGTCATCTTATCTGCGACTGAAATGATGGCCTGTAAATCGAGTGACACACCAATTGAGATGAATCACTCCCTTGGCATATATCCAGGACAAGTTGAAACGGATAAAGGCAGATATCAAAGGTTAGTAGGAAAGCTAATATATTTGTCACACACTAGACCTGACATTGCCTACTCTGTAAGTATAGTGAGCAGGTTCATGCACTCTCCTAGTGAGGAACATATGAAGGCAGTAGGTCATATTCTCAAATACCTGAAAGGATCACCAGGAAAAGGTCTTCTATTCTCAAAAAATAAAGAGGCTTGCGTAGAAGGATATATAGACTCTGATTGGGCTGGAGATAAAACCACTAGGCAGTCAACTTCTGGGTACTTCACCTTTGTAGAAGGGAATCTAGTCACTTGGAGGAGCAAGAAACATAAGGTAGTAGCTAGATCTATTGCAGAAGCAGAATTCAGAGGCATGTCATATGGCATCTGCGAACTACTTTGGGTAAGGAGCATACTTGCTGATTTAGGAATAAAATATAATCAGCCAATGAAGCTTTTCTGTGAGAACATGGCTACTGTGGAAATTGCTCACAATCCAGTTCAACATGATAGGACTAAACATGTTGAAGTGGATAGACACTTCATTAACGAAAACTTAGAAAATCAAGTGATCCAGATATCTCATGTTCGATCAGAATACCAGCTTGCAGATGTGCTGACAAAAGGTGTTTCAGCTAAAGTATTTGATAGACTCATTGACAAGTTGGGCATGACAGATATACATGCACCAACTTGAGGGGGAGTGTTGAAAATAGAAATTAAGTTTAAATTATTCTTACTTAGAGACAGGAATGATTTGTTTGTTAGAGAATTAATTCTGATTAAGTTGTTGATTATTGTTAGGTTGTTAGAGTAGTTTCCTATTTTTATGTATTGATTGTTGAGAGTCACTTGTATATATATCCCTCATTTAAGAGGTACAAATATAGTGGAATAGAAATATATTTCCAGAATTCATATTTTAACATTGGGACACAAGTTCATCAAAAACACATTATTATAAAGCGACTATGCCTTATCCAAATTTCCAGCTTTGCACAAAGGGTTGATTAATGCATTACAAACAACCAAATTCGGCAGAAAACCAGATCTTCCAAACTTAACTACCGAATCATAAGCATTATCAATCTTTCCTTGCTCTCTTAACCTTTCCACTAACCCCGAGATATATAACAGCATGTTGGGTATGACTCATACTTTGCATGTTGATGAGAGCCCTAATTATCGAGCATCAGCAGAAAGGCGGGGTCCGGGAGAGCCACCCTGGCGGGGGTCCGGGGGGCAGCGCCCTCAGGCCCGTAGAGGCTAGGTACTGTTGTGGGCCTCTGTTTTATTGTAATTTTCTTAGCTGTTTGGGCTTGCGCCAATGAATAACGGTTGTTAGGGTTTTCTAATTCTATTTATATTTTCTTTGTAAACCGAGTGACTTGTGACGAGTGGCGGTGAGGTGAATATAGTACAGATAAGCTGGATGTAGCCTATATTGGAGGAACCAAGATAAATCGTTGTGTCTATTCTCTGTCTTTTTCTTTTTCGTTTTCGATTCGTGTGATTGTCAATTTCCAACACAGCCTCTGTGGAGCAAGCCCCAATTCAACCATTTTCATTCATAAGCTGTATTCCAGCCTCAAACTGTTGCACCCTACAAAAACCAAGTACTAGTGTACAGTATGTAACAACATCTCCTTTCAGACCCTTTTACCCCAATGATCTTTTAACTTCAATAGCTTCCCAAACTCGATCACCCCTCACATAGCCCATGAATTAAAACATTATAAGTGACAATACTTAGATCAAACCTATTAGATTTCATCCACAAAATCTTTTCCTTAGCTCTAAAAAAATCTTTCACTCGGCTCCTGACTACAGCTGAACAAGTATAAGGATCAGGTTGAACACCAGCATTCACGAACTCATCAAACAATTCCCAAACCGTTATAAATTTTCTAATTCTCAAGAGCCCAACTTCAAGGGGGCACTTAATGTTCTAACTTCAGGTAATAAGATGTTTGCAAGCATGAACTTTACAATGAACACAACATAAAAAACCTTTGCAATTTGCAGGTAATTCTGGATCAGCAAATCGAAACCCAAAGTGCATTAAAATTTACATT